TTGTGTCGCTGCAACAGGACTAGTCTCAGCTGCCTGTTTGGCAAAATGACTTAGATCCTTGTTTATTTTGTTCGTGACTGTTTTTTCCTGACCCTTGAAATAACGACTCCGTCAACATTCTATAAGATTTATAGGATCACTACAAATATACCTAGTTGCATCTGTGTCTACTATATGCGCCGCAGCTGTGATTTTCTGTCTGAGTTTTGCTAATTCAAAAGTTTGCCGTTCTTGATGACAAAGCATCAGTACGTTTAGTTCTGTTATGGTAAGCAGGCATCAGCTGTAAATGACTCCAACAAATTACTTACGTCTATGACGTTATTGATAGTAACAAAGCTTAGATAAAATCAATATGTGTTTGGATTAAACCCTAATAAGTGGTTGCATTTTTCTGCAGCACAGCTGAGCCGCCCCTGTATTAATAACATGTCGTTAAATCTCGTACGAGTCGTCCATTTTCGTTGCTAGACGCGTCTCGCCACACGACATTTGAACAATTTTATATGAAGCCCTGTTCGTATTGTCAAAAAGCAAGATAAATATGTTTATTGACATATAGTTCTTTATAAATGTGTTATATATGTATCTATCTGTAACGATATTGAGGATATATGTTATTGCCTGACCACGGTCCAGTGTGGCAACTTTCAACTCCCGTATCCGCTTTTTCCTCTGGCCGTTTTAAGCTGCTTCTTTTTTCAAAAATAAGCTAATGCACATCATACTAAAATTCTTTATTAAACCCAGGAAGTTATCGGTAAAATGGTGATGGTCTTTCTGATCTTTTAAACCGTTGCGCTTTTTAGATACCTTTGGCCCACTAAGGCAAAAACTAAATAGGGACGGATTCGCTCGGATCTTGAACGGGTTTCCACCTAAGAATATTGTTTGACGCACGGCTGCTATCATTAAACTTGCAAGTTGAAAATTATAAGAACATGTTGTACATACATACATATATATATATCTATATATATATATATAGAATTTCTTTTTTACTATGTATAGTTTGACCTCTATTATTTTATATACTGATGAAAAAATAGCCAAGGCTGCTATACGTCTGCTTTTACACACTGTCCGTTAATTCAGTTCTAGACCTGTGGGCAGAATCTTGCAGACCTCACATTTTTCCCGAGTATTAAATCATAAGACAAATAAAATACTGCTAAAGAGACTGATGCTGGCTGGAAACGTGTAGGATACAAGTTGAACTTAGTCTGGAGAAACTGGCGTCCACAGATCTTATTTGACCTTTTTGGCGCTTTTCGTCATGACGACGCCGCAGCCGTCGTCACTGCTGCTTACTCAACTGTCTCCATTTTGATACGTTAAAACCGTTATGTTATAAAACGCTATAGAGCGAAATAACTAGGAATCATCATCACCATAGTTCCGCCAGGAGTTCTACCAATCAGTTTAAGCTAACCCCATTATGATAGTGCTCACATTATGGCCGACTTCTCGGCTGGCCAGATCTGGCAGTCAGATCCTACCTAAGCAACCTCATTCGGCACATGTATTCAGATCGAAAGATTGAAAAAATTGCGATGAAATCGCAATTTTTCAGCTACCCGGCTGCATACGGAAACAAGGTAGCCGTAGACGAGAAGATTGACGTCCACTGAGTCAACCCGATCCTTAGGCACCTGAAGCCTCCCGTGAAGCTGGACTAAAAACCGGCTTCGTTTAAATTATAGCTTTTACCATAGACTAGCTAGTTACACTAATATTATTTAATTGTGTTATTCAGCGTCAGTGCATCTCACCTTTAATGTTTCCTGCAGGATAATTTATATATAAAATGAGGTTGTGTTTATTAGTAACTAAACAGGGGGCTACGAACACGAATCAGCTGCCATAAACCCATTTGATAAATGCTCGAACCGCAGAAGTACACTTAGCGTCCGAACGACGACACGATTGGGAGAGGGCATCATGACCTTGGAACTACGCCAGAGTCGTTGCCCGTAGAGGAAAAATTCCCGATATGTATATATAATAGCGATTAAAAGCTGACCTTAAGTTTTGAGACGTTAATATAGTGATTGTATAACAAAGGCAAGCCTGCGGGTACGTTCGACAACGTAATTAGCCGTTTATAGTAATGACAAGGTAGCGAAAATGTGAGCCCTGTCAAGTTTGAACACCGTCATCAAGAACTGATGTACAGGTTTCATTTACGCATTTTACGACCGAGCCATCTTGAAATGTGCATAGACAGAGAATAACTTACTAGCAGATTCGCAAGCACAAGACCGTAGGACAAACTGCACCTCAGAAAAAGCACGCAAAGAAAAACTTCCGAATTTTCGAAACTGAGTCACGTGGCTGAGGCACAAGTTTTGAGGTTGTCCTTTGTACAGAACTGTAAACTTTAGGAACTTTTCTTAGTTATGAATACCCAACTAGATTCAACAGAAAACAACAAAGATAGATTGTTCCATCGCAGACATCTCACGTCACGCTCGTGCGACCTGTACGTTATTACTTGCAGATGATTAACAAATCGCTACTGTTCTTTATGACTCTTACAATTATAAAGCCTTTTGGAGCTCTTCGCTGATTGGTCAACCCTAGAGCAGGCCGTATGCTACCTACTTGGGACGTGGCCTTATTTGGTTTCACTTATTTGGTTTGTTCAAGCTTTGCTTTGTCAGGATCGTTGTGATATCATTACAATTACCGCTATCGATTCCCGATCGAGTTGAGGGAAGAATTTGATTGCTGTGAATCATTGCTGAACTATCCTACGTCCTACACTTTATTAGACAGCTAACTTCTATCAGCATTGTTGTGCTGGCTATTCAGCGGCTCAACCGAATACTGTACAAGAAGGACATCTTTTTCCGGGTGTTAGTTGTCCGCTATTCGACAGCGCCAAATGAAGTCGCACATGGAGTGGACCGCAAATGGCGAAAGCGCAGCTCCTTGCCACCTTGAAGAACCCTCGAACGTCGAGTCAGTCAAGGCGTTCATTCGTTGTTATTCAACTTTATCTGCTTGAGCCTGGATTCGGTTTATCGGAGTTCTCGTTATCGACCTACTGTTCTTGCGTTCACAAGCGATCATCGTCGACTCCAGGGTCTGGCAATCCGGCAAAGGCAAGTTTCGTTGTCTGGTGGTCGCCGTTCCTGAATTCTGTGCAGAACTCCCTTTCCAAAACCCCATTTATTACCCTGCCATTATTTATCGACGCTTGCCCACCCCTAAATCATGCAGCGCAGAATCAACAACTGGCTTGAAACCGACAGTAAATACTGGCCGATCGTCTCTTGACCTAGAATCTGCTAAAGCCTATGTTTGCTAGCAAATATTGGTATTGTCTATAGCGTCCTTAGCTGAGCCATAGCCTTTTGCCTAGTTCTCTCCCCGGTTTTGGTTATGCCGCTGTACCGCTGTAGCGACGCCGACCGACGTTGTCGCCCTGACCCAGTTCGTTGTCTGACCCAACCAACGGAACGACTGAGCGTGCCAGCGCCATGCGTTCAATCTCCTCTTTGTTTCTTCACTTTTTACTCTCTCTGTTCCAGCTTCTGTGAGTCACTGCCCTCCTCCTCGTCTTGCAACACTGTGTCCCCTGCAAGGAACCCCTAGCGCTGATCCTCGCTGATGTCCCTGTCCCCTTCTCGGACGGACGTCCCCCTGTACATCAGCACGTTCCATGGCGAAGCGTGTGTAGCCGGCTAGTCCCATTCCCAACAAGGAGCAATTCCCCTCCTTTCAAGTCTAGATCGCTGGCTGGTTAGGTTACGCCGATAAGTTTGGCTACCCTTCTCTCCACAAGTCTGGATAGTTTCCCTTGATCTGGGCTAGAAGGACAGAACCCACTGTCGTTAAGGGGCGCTGTGGAGAAGAATTCGTAGGGGCAGGAAGGCGGAATGAACGGCGTTAGAGAGTTCCCATCCTGACTCCTTCTGGCCGGCTGGGAGAGTTTAGGCGGCAGCGACGGCTCCAGGGGCTTCACCCAGGGCGTCGCCCTCTCCACGTGTCGAATCGGTCTAGTATAACGTACGTCAGCAGTGGCGATGCCGCAAGTGGAAGCCGTGCGCAGAGTACTATGTATATTATGTGCCACGTCGTTTTCGAGAAGGCGAGCTGGAAGCATTAGAAGAGGTGACGTGGTAACTGCCGCCACCGCCGGTGCTGCCACTGTGGCGCACTCTGCCACATAGTCGAGGGCGAGAGGTACGGGGATAAGGTTTTGAAACGTCGTCTTGTGCAAGCGCGCAAGACTCACCTGCCCAAGCCAGAGGCCACGACCTTTTCCCCCCTTTATAAAAGAGAGGGAATAACGAGGCTACTCGAACAAACAGAAGAGTCCTGATTCCTGAAACTTCTGACTGCTGCTGCTGCTGCGAAAGTTCAATCAGATCAGTAGCAAAGAGGGACAATGCAAAGGTTTACGCCGGCTGCCGCCATGTCTTGTCTGCTTGGAAAGAGAGATCGTTTCCGGAATTTGGAAAAAGATTTGGACAAAAGAGCGCCATCGCTGAGTCGTCATATTTTTTAACTTCAATTCGGAACAATGTAGAGTGGTTTCTCGGCGTATGTGATGACCAAAGTGAGCTATAGTAAGGAGACGTCCGAGATGGAAATTCTGGCATCGCCGGGTTCATCAAGATGGCTGCGTGTGCGTGGCGTTCGCGTGGACTTTTTTCTGCCCTGGCGAAGGTGAGGGTAGTTCCGGAGTAACAAATAAATGAGAGGAAAGTAATCTTGGTGAGCAGAACGGGTCGATGCGGTAGCATCGTGGGAAAACGGCTCTGCACTTCAGGGGTTTCTGCAGGTTGCTCTAATGACAACGGCGATGGCGGCTGTGTAGCTCCGAGGAGACAGAGTGCACGTGGTCGCCTTGACGCGGCCATTGCCCTGGAGTGAGACCCAGCCCGCGATACTCTCTCGACTAGAATGAGCGGAGAGCATGCGCGGGCCGTTGTGCAAACATGGATCTAACGGATGAATGAGAGAGGACCAGTTTCGGATCTGTGGTGAGGTTAGACTAAGTTGAGCAGTGCTGACTCTGACTGCGTTATATAACAGCAATGGCTTATATCCTAAAAGTTAGATCGTAGTTCGTCGGTAGTTTCATAGTCGTGAGTAGTATACATTTTAACATTATTCCATTGAAAGCGTGCGTCTCTGCCAATCTGACGAGTGATATTTATAGAGGCTAAAGAAGTCCGTATTGTTGTTATATTTCTGGGGGGCGTCGGAATATTGTTGGATAATTTTAGCCAATATGTAAGCGTGCACCGTACGTAAATACGCGCTAGCTTTAAAATTTTTGCTCTTTTCCCCACCTCCCGCAAAGCTATTGTGACTATGGCAGTGGACAAGAAAGAGAAGGAAGTGAGTAGTTATAAAAAGCATTTTGTAGAATTTTATCTAATTGGCGGCCGACAGCGACTGTTTAAGAGCATGTACGAGCTTAGCCAGAGGCAGTATAAAAAGCTTGTGCTGGAACAGAACTGTCAGGTTTCAAAAACCGTGAAGGAATGAGGGTAGTCTTCAGCAGTTGTTGAGGTAATGAAGCTTCTGTTATAACCACTGTACAGAACCTCATCGTTGCTGGTTAAGCATGAAGTGCCCCAACAGGATGAGAGAAAGACTACAACTCGATACGCGAACAGCTAAGAAGGTAACCCCTTGATAGGGGAGGTACACACCGGTGACTGAGTAATACCGGCGCAGACTCTACAAGTCATTGAGGTCTACGAGAAAAACAAAGATAAAACGGGTAACTGATAGCTGTAACATTCGCGATAGCATCAGAATCACTCTGGCCAACGGACCCCTGTTCAGTCACTAAGCCACGTACTGTTTCTTTCCGTTCAACATTGCTCTTCCGCTTTAGGGCAGACCGCACTCGACTTCGGCATGAATAGGGGTAATGATAGTTATGATAACACTCATCGCTTAACTACACTACAGTTCCCAGTTGCTGATTCCTGTGGTCTCCCACCTGCCTCGCGGTGTTCCCAATCCCAAGCCTTAACGCCACTACCTACTATTTACCGATTGGTTTACAGACCTAATTCTTAGGGATAGCCCGCTTGAGAAACGCTGGGCTGCCACGGGGCTGAGTTCGCCAAGAATCGATTTCGTAAGAGACCAATATCCCTTTTTCCCTCTACCCACCAAGCTCACTCTCTCTCTCTCTCTCCTGTTCTATTTTTCCTTCGTCTTCTCATGCTGCCGTAGCCAGAGCGGCGCAATAGTGAAACGAATACTGAAAGACATAGGCACAGAAACTAACAGCCCTGGAAAACAGAAGGCAGCTATTGCTGCTGCTGCCAGCTCCGGCTTACCAGTGCCGCTGCCGCCGCCACTGCCGCTGCGGCTGGCACTATCGTTAGAGGGTGGAACGGTTTTACAATGCAACGCCATTACAATTCCTCCACGCCATTCTTGTTCGGTATCTCTTCGCGTGCCGATTTTGTTTCCATAATCCCGGCGTGTTCACTAGACGCACAACGACGGTTGCGCTGAACGAACCGGTAGCGGACGATACGCCGACGACTCGTGCGGAAAATGACTAAACGCTAACTGCGGTGTAGGGTATATTGCGTAGCGTACGAAGACAGTCAATTCAGTGGTTAAGCTGAAAGGTCAAGCAGACGGACAGTTAAATGAAATGAGCTGGAGGACGAAGTCGTCGTAGAAAAGAAGTCGGAACATTACGAAATGCACCTCACTAGAATCGGGAGTCTCGGTTAGCGGTAGCGCAACGCATAGCAGAGTCTAGTAACATATTCTGAAGTGTGAATACTGCATTAAGCTGCGTGTAAGGCGGAACAATGGATTTAATACGACGAAATGTTTCGCTGGGTATATATATGTGCGTGTATGTCTTTTCAATAGCATTGTCGTTTTGCTGAGACAGCTTTGAGCAATCTTTGTTTAACGCAATTAAATTATTCTAATTCGACGCGTAACTTGTAGAGGATAAACCTCCCAAGACTAAGGTAGCTCGCTTAGTGTATTGTCCTTTATACTATACCGAATAGGCGATTGCAATGAGTTGTTTACGTGACGGATACAGTTAAAACCTCGAAATAAATTTAATTATATCAAGAATTTCAAGTCAAGTCAATGCTTGACTTAAAATAGACTCGTTCAAAAAGTCCCACCGCTTAACTAGGAAAAGCAAACAAGCTAGTCATAACTAAATTATCCCTTTCCGTTTTGTGGAAATGGGCTAACTTATTTTTTTTTACAACGGTTTTTGATCTACCTAACTTAGCATAACTTCCGACAGCAAAAGATGAGTAGTTCTCTCATAAGACATATGTGATACGTATTTCGAATTTACGATACGAGAAACATCTTGAAGAGGCGGTAGATTATTCATAATCCCAGCCATGGGATATACGAGTGGATTTTACGGAACAGAACAAAGTCTTCGAAACCCAGTCAGAAGGAACACTCATATGTATTCGATCATAAAATGATGACGGTATGAGATACAATACAAGACGACACTGTAAACACATGAAATGATTTGTTTGCCATCAGGGTACGCAGTAAAGTCGGAAGCTTATCTCTTCTAATTTTGAAAACGTACGACTGTAATCAAGCTCCGTCTGAGATAACGACAAATACATTTTGAGCAGATCCAGAGGACGCTTAACGTTTGCGATTATTTCGTATCTATTTATCGCTAGTCATCGTGTATGCGTTTATCAAAGCCCAGACCAATATTGGTAGACAAGTAGTCACAAGCAATCATTCGTTCAAAGCCTATCAACGTGCGAAAGGTACGATCTCTTGAAGAGGCTATGTTAGGACAACAGTACGTGCGCCTACATTTACACTTTTTTTTTTTTTCTATGAATCGTCGCGGGAATGCAAGCAGTATAAACCTGCCTTCAATCACTGGCTAATAATCCACGATGCATCTAATGACGATGAAGGGCTGTTGCCTTCAGAACCTGACTTCGTTTGTTTTCCTCTAATCTAAGATAGTCAAAATCGTACGAATCATAACAGTCATCATAAAGCACATTGTTCTATATATTGGATTACTTTTTGTGTACCGTAAAGGCTAAGATTTACTGTATTATTATATATCGAGTTGTCAAATTGACCGTTTTTCTAGACAGATGGCATACCTCAGGTATTACGAGTTATATACGGACGGCGTTTGTCTTGACTTGAAATCTGGATTATCAGAATGCCTTTGTTCAGACTTAAGATAGGCCGCCTTGAAGACGAGTGAGATTCCTGTGAAAGTTCGTTTTTGGTGAAAACATTATTTTTTACATTTATAACAAAGGCACACATGCTGGTTAGACCTAGACACATTTGTGATATTTAGGGTCAAGGCGCATTAATGCATGCTTCGTTTTTTTCTGGTAAATGAAAAATGCCCCTCGTAGTGGTTGTCCCATTAGGCAAGACCGATACGCGAGTAGCCATTACATCGTCAAAGAAATAAACATCCACCATGAAATAGTTTCAAACTATCTGACAAAATCTGGCTACAAAAAAGAAGCTCTATGTTTTGACGACGCACGAATTGGCGTAATAAATCACTCGATCATATTTCCATGTGCGAAACTCCGCATAAACACAAAGAAATCGAGCCATTTCTGTCATGGTTGATGAAGTCATGATCAATCACTATAGAAAAATGATTACGTACGACAGAACTGCGTGAAAAAAAGACATAGTCGCGGCGAGGAAACTTGATAGTTAGTGGCGAAGGCGATGCTACGTGTTTGGTAAGGTTCGAGAGGAATCATACGCTATAAGCTGCTACCGCTGGGTAGAACAATCGATTTGGACCTCGACTGTTAACAACAACGAGTCATTGAAAAAATCAACCAGAGCCAGTGAGCAGAAGAGACATTGTCATTCCTACCACGATAATGCCAGCCACAGACATTTTAGATACTCGGAAAAATTTGAAAGAATTTGGATGGGCAATTTAAATCCATCCACAGTATAGCCTGGACCTTGCATCGTTTAATTGTCGTCCGTTTCGGTCCCTGCTATACGCCTTTAATGGCGTTGATTCTGCTTCAATGGAAGGATGCAAAAATCATTTGTCGCAAGGCTTCGTTCACCAGTTATACAAGTTGGATGGAACTGTGATATTGCCAAAAAGGTGACAGAAGGTCGTCGATCAAAATGGCGCTTGTTTAGCTTAATAATATCAACTTATATGAATTGCTTGAAACGGTCAGTACTTTCTGGACAACCTAACATTACATGGAAAGTTGCATTCTCCACCGGCAAAGATAAACTTGAGTCCGTCTAACACCTTTTTCAGATTTCAAATCAGAGCAAAGACTATGCTCTGCTACAACACACTATTGAATGTGATCTTGTTTACATATTAGAGGAAGAAGATATCTAAGACGTATCAGGATCGTCTTTATCTTGTATAAGTGCTTCACACACATATACGCCCCTATAGCAAGCTGGTAATACGTGCGTCAACCAGTCCCTGTAAACTTTTGGTATGGCAGTATTAAAAAACAGGCATTTTCCCTAAGACTGGTCCAGCTTGCCTAAATACTGATTAGGAATAGACGAGGCGGAACACAGACGTAAACAGATATCAAAAGTGTCAGCAGTGGTTTTAGTTCCTGTCAAGAACTAAAGTGAAATTGTCCATAATGCAAGCCTCGTTGCGAAGATGAGGCATTGAATCTCGGTTCAGGCTTAAATCTGAGCTAATTGCCATGCCCTAATAGGATGTTACCAAGTTTCAAACTGCCGACTCGTCTGAGAGCGCTGCATCCGCGCTAATTTGGTCCATCACTAATTTTTTCTCCTGATCGGAAATTAGTCTACAATACGAAATACTATTGTAAGTTGAGTTGTATTATTACTTAAAATTCAACAGACTACCGATCAAAAGCGGTTCATGTAATAAACAACAACTATTATGCGTACGCAGTAAGAATCAAATGAGCGTTTGAAAGGCTCGGATTAGAAGGGGACTTAATGGTTAAGCGCGTGCAGCTTATGGGTTAAGATGCAATTTGTTCACCCCATTAAGGTTTATTCATTTAAATATTGTGTCATAGTTAAAGGATAGGCAAACTAATACATTACTCTTTGCGAAAGCATAAACGTCGGCAAAATCGTAAAATGTACCAAATTCAATGGCAAATGTTGTTTTGACAACATGAAAAATATGACATTCATATCAAAGTCACGTGCGGGTTCGAAATGAAGGATTCCAGCGTTCCTTCTACCTGTAGCAAGCAGTAACCTCCAACATGATATCGACGCTAATCTGAGGGACCTTTAGTGAATTCTTATTTGACTATCTCGTCCCTTAACTAATACGTCTTCGCAACCGAAATGTTCGACACACTATTTGACAACTTCCCTTTGTCACCGCCTTTTGCATCAGGAATGTTCAGGATCCGTCTTCCTCCACCACAAGTTTCCTAACGCTTAGGGTATAGCACCCTACTACGAAGCCAGAAGCCAAGCCCAAAAGGGTTTTTGCTTTCTGGTCCTAAGATAGAACTTTTCGAGGCATCCTGTCGGCGAAGGGGCTGGCAGGCCGCATGCAGACTTCCAGTAACCACTCGAATGCCCTCTCCCTTTAGCCGTTGCTCTCCCCTCACGATTTCGTTACACAGTTGCTACATCGACCCCCTACGGAAGTCAGTTCGCTTTAAGCTCTTTGCGGCGTTGACGACTGGGTCTCACCTCCGATTCCGATCACTTTCACTGCCCCGCTTATCCCTAGGGTCTGCTAGAATCGGCCCGTCCTCTCCTACTGTTCATCTGACTACCCAATATGCTCATCCCCGCTAGAATCCCCCGACGGTGTGTTTCGTCACACCGCCTCGCCCAGAGGCTTTCCCAATCGCTAGCTGACTTCGAGAACTGCTATGTACTCTCCTATGGCACGGTGACCGCCAGACGGCGCTCGCTACTGAATGTTGCCGCGTATTCGAACATGTAAAACTAACAGGTTTTTGCGAGCATATCTACACGCAACTACAAATACACTCTTTACCAAATAGGCATACCTTAGAAGTAACATAAGAAAAATCATATGTACAGTTTCTTAATTTATAGAAATTTTGCGCTACAAAGTGCTCAGTTATTATAGACCTTCGTAGTATTTGTCTACGAAAAAACAGTAGGCATATCATAGACCCTACGGTAAATAAGCCCCCCTAGAGCCACCAGTAGTAGTTAGGCTATTAACTCACATCAATCGCTTCTCTCTCTATGCCCGACCAACAGCCGAGTCTCTCAACGCCGTTAGGGCATTCCACCGGCAGATCTACCTAAGTAGTCTAGCCCAGCATAACCTTACTTAGCCGATCTTTGGGCCGTTCTCACAATAGCCCATTTCGGTATCGGTGGCTGGAGCTGCGGACACGATGGCAAGTTAGTTCAAATATGTATATATATATATGAACAACAAGCATGTGTGCGCTATAGGCAGGCGGGCAGGAAATGAGGGAAAGAGCAGACGCTCAGGTTGCGTAACATCCAGAAGAGAGGCTGAGGGCAGGCCGCCTATGAAGAGGGCCCACGGAAGCTCCATGACCGTTCGCTATAGGGTTGTTGTCGAGGGCAACGGGCTGTGGGCGACGGATATGATGGCAAGGAGAAGATTTTGAAACATGTTTACGACCTTGCGCAAGTTGGGCTCTCCTGCGGAGGATCGTCTTTCACTCCATGCTCACTAACGGAACCCATCTCTTTTTCCCAGGATTTTCTATAGTTGGTCTTGGTGATTATTCTAGTCAGGGTGAAGGAAAAAGAACATCGCCCCCATATACATTCCACCCTTCGTCTCCTCGGGCTTGCCTCTCGCCTTCCTCTTTCTAATGCTAGTTACCCCTGCTCAAAGAAAGCTCACCAAAGGCCGGAAGGGGAAATCTCCTGAAGAGCCTCTTCAGGAGTTTTCCCTAGGGCACTGGGGCGTAAAAAGGGAAAGGGAAATTCGTGGCCATGCTTGAGATCAAGTAGGCGGACAAGGTAACCCGGACAAGGTAGGCTCCCAGCGAGAAACACAGACTCAAACTGAGAAAGCAAGAAAGGAAGAGGGCATGCGGCATAAGTGGGTAGTAAAAATTAGAGTGGGAAACAAAGATAAATAACAAAAGAAAGTTGTAAGAGAACCGACGGGAACAGATTGGAGGGGGGGGGGGGGGGGCAGTAATAGAAAAAACAGATACGGCAAAGCTCGTACAGCATCGGATGTCGTACTACCATCATTATTACCACAAAGTAGAATCCTACATTCGAATACTAACGCGACGCCAGCTCAATAGAAGAAAAAAGAAACGGTAGAGTGAGCAGCATCAAGATGGATCCAGGTTTCTCTGACACTAGAACGCTACCTAGGGCGCACGAACATTAAACGATACTCGCGGCTGAGAAGAACAGTCTTACATTACTGCCGAATACTTTGCGTTAGCAATATTCGAAAAAGTTCGAAAATCTTCATGCGAGACAGTGCAGTAGCTCGAATACCTTGTCCAAACACATTCAAAAATATTCACAAATACGATTACCTATGTGTATAAACGAAACGATAAAACATTTCAACAATGTTCAGCCTGCAGAAGCCGATACGCGAATAGCTACACGTAGAAACTACCAGTTAACTACATGCAAGTGTTGTATGCATACTCAAGAACACACTTCAATATAAGGTAACTGGCCTGAACGTTGTAATCCGCTTTGTTGAACATTATGCAGAGAGAACATTGCAAAACTATCTCGAAAGCTAGATAGCATTTACTGCGAGTGTTAAAATGTTTTCCGTGTTTTACGTAGGGTACTTAAGCTGCTAGGAAATACTTCAGGCAGCTGGCTCGTTCTAGCACGAAAGAGAGTGTGTCTAAGCCTGCATTCGGATTTAAACTACTCATGTCTTGAAATTTAACAGGTAAACTCGTTACTTACTGCGCTAGCACGAGGACAGTACTGCAACTGCTGTTATTACAACTGCCGCAGAGTTCTAGCCATATAAGGACAGCCCCTGTACTCCAGGCGAGGTCCACTAGGACCCCCTGGGACTACGTATCCCCAGTCTTAGAAAAAAAAAAGACCGAAAAATCATTCTATTGGTCGATGGTATCATCACCAGGATGCTTTTCCAGCTCTGCCTCCTTGTCTAGCTAAACGGCTTGTGAGGATGACTGCTGTGACCACTACGGGTATAAGGCATCACATTCGACAGAAAGTTGTTGACGCTCAGTAAAAGACAGTTTGCCGTCTACTTGGTTAAGGACGGCGATGTGTTGCCCCTGTGACGGTGCAAAGGGCAGTCGTAACAGAATGACCGCTCGGATCTGCTTAAAAAGCAAATGCCGGGAAGGATAACGGCTCTGAAACGGAAGCAGAACGCAGCGAGAGGATGAGATGGACCGTTGCGAATACACATTGTGTTACTCGCTGCGTAATTACCGTCCATTCTCGCCGGCCTCGGTCAATCGATGCTGCTGAACTCCAGTGTAATTAGCATCCCTAAGAGACAAACGTGCCTATACAGAGAGAGAAATTAAGCCTGATAGGGGCGGAACCAACGGAAGCAATGTCAAAGACAGTATTATACTGACGTAGAGCCCGGAAATTCCTGGGGATGAGCGATATCAGAAATGCTTTACTCTAATGAGCGATCATGTAAGTACGCTGATAGGGTATATTAAAGAATAATAATAAAGCTTAGATGATAATAACTCAGTTTCAGTAAAAGTACTACGGTGGGTGTAGGTGTATAGTACTGAATAGAAGTTTAGAGTACTTGTGCATGATAGAAAGTTGCGCAACCCTGTGGGAGATAAGCAAACTTCGATGCGTTTGAAAGAGCCTTTCGTAAAGTTCTTTGTTGTCGTTTTTCGTACATATGCTTTAGCTAGAAACATGTTTTTTACAGTTAAAAAAAGAAGTTGAAAAATCATTCTAGAGGGGTTATCTAAGAGAATGATAAACTTCTTCTTAACGGCCTATTAACGGCCAGTGAAGTTCTCAAAATAATCTTTTATTGAAAAAATGTTTGCTGAACTTTCTTTTACTTTGCTTTGCTTTAATGCGATTTAACAACAAAAGCAAGAACAAACGAAAAGCATTATAGGAAGATTAGCGCCAAAGTCACCAAATGTTTTGATAGAATGGCAAAACTCACCACGTAAACGTCCTGTACTGACCAAGTTGTACACTTTAAACATTCAGTATTGCTGCACTTTTGTAAAATGATCGGCATACGATAAGAGAAAGATCATATAATCCCTCTGTCGTTTGGATTTCTGTGGCTGTTACATCGTTACTGGTGAATCCCTCTATGAAGGTCCGTGGCACCCGCTACCAAAACGAACTCGAAAAAATTCAGTTGAGGAAATATACACAGCTGTTCGATTGCCCGGTGCTATTTAGCGGGTCGAAAAATTTCGATGCCTTTAAACTACCCAGGACACTAAACACTGCGGTACTAAAATCTTTAGCGATACACTTTGTTAATCAGTTTGTTGCTGGTGCAGTTATGCTTAAAAAAAAAAGCTGAAACTGGGTCGTTGAAGGATAGAGGAGGTGACTGTACATCAGTACCTCAAGCGGAAAAACGGGTTGCTGTGATTAGGAAAGCTTTTCAGTAAAGCAGAGCATAGACAACACACGTTCCCTGTCTACTCAATATGCGATTACTCAAGAAACACGTTACGAACTTGTAACGAAGAACAAGAAGATGAAAGAGAAAATAATATACAGACAAAGTATATTCAAGTCAGATGCAAACACCTATGGCGCACGAGAAACTTCGCGTGTATACATATTGTTCTCTAATTATGCTCAACTAGCCCATAGTCGTAGATAGTTAAGCACTTGCTGTTCTAAAATAACACCCGAGAACTTACGTCACATTACAACTGTAATGTG